AAGGAAGGAAGGTTGGATGGAAGGAAGGAAGGTTGGATGGAAGGAAGAAAGGTTGGAAGGAAGGAAGGAAGGAAGGAAGGACGGAAGGAAGGAAGGAAGGAAGGTTGGAAGGAAGGAAGGAAGGTTGGAAGGAAGGTTGGAAGGAAGGTTGGATGGAAGGAAGGAAGGTTGGAAGGAAGGAAGGAAGGACGGAAGGAAGGAAGGAAACTTTTATAATATCGCTGGATGGCTCACATCAGCAACACAGGAAATTAAACAAGCCCAGTATATTAAAGCCATCATGCACAGTGCTGCCCTCACACTCCCACCTGGGTTTAACTCCCACCCTGGCAGAACCAGTCAAGCCCACCCCCCCACCTGTGGCATTCGCGGATTTAAAGGCCCCCCGATTCACCACACATTCTTTCCAATTTCCTCTGCATGATAAATACCCCCTTTCCCAGATGGGCAAATCCCCCGCTTCCCGGGGACCCTTCCTCTTGGACCCCTGCACCAATCCAGGGGTTGGACTAGATGTCCTCAGGGAATTGGGGGGGAGAGGGAGAGAGAGATCCCTCCAACTCCAGGATTCCAGGGCAAGTGCAATTGCCACGGTTCACCCAGGTTCCCGTGAAGCCGTATCCGGACGACAGAAAAGGAGCCACATGCATTGCAGGAGCCGCTGCGTATCAGGATACACTCCCTTTTTTTCTTTCCTTTTTAATGCGCCAGATCCATCTGAATCCAACTCTCTGCGCTCAAAGATACGTCCCAGGTTGCCCCCTTCCTCCTGCCCGTCTCAGAGGGCCAGCAAGGCAGAGTTTTCCTCCGGGGTCTCCCTGTCGCCCCCCTGAATGCAGGCCCATTCGGGCTTCCTGGCTCTGTTGGCGGGGCCCAGGTTCCTCCTCTTCTCCTCCAGGCCCGCGGGAGACCCGAGGAGTCTCGGGAGAGGCAGCGGAGAGCCCAGCCTGCCTTCCCATGGGATCTCCTCCCCGAAGGAGTTCACGTCGTAGAGATAATCCAAGCTGGTCACGGCGCTGAGGATCTCCGGCACGCTGTAGTCAAAGGAGAGTAGCTCGTCCGGCAGGTTGAGGGACCGGATGTCACTGGATGAGTCCTCGCCGCCGGAGAAGCAGCCCTCCTGCACCACGGCCTCCCCTGGAAGAGCCGCCTGCCCTCCGCCTCCCAGGTCCTCCAGGGGGGCCTCGGTGTCCGAATGG